TTTTTTTTTTTTTTTTTTTTTTGCCAGTACCATACTGTTTTTATCACAGTATCTTTGTAGTATGATTTCAAGTCAGGGATTGTGATGCCCCCTGCCTCATCTTTGTTGTCCAGAATTGTTTTAGCTATTCTGGGTCTTTTTGAGTTACAAATGCATTTGAGGATTGTTTTCTCTAATTCTGTGAGATATGGTATTGGTTTTATTTATTTATTTATGGTATTGAGGATTGAACTCAGGACCTTGTGCTTGCCAGGCAGACATGGTGCCACTGAGCTAATCCCAATTTTGGAAGTATGGCCATTTTCACTATATTGGTTTCTTCTACCCAAGAACAAGGATTATCTTTCCATTTTCTGATATCCTCTTTGATCTCCTTTTTCAGCATACTGTAGTTTTTCATGTAAAAGTCTTTTACATACTTTGTTAGATTGGCTCCTAGGTGTTTCATTTTTGGATGCTGTTGGAAAGGTGTTGTTCCCCTAATATCTCTCTCAGTGAGTTTGTTATTTGTGTACAGGAATGCTGTTGATTTTTGAGTGTTGACTTTGTATTTAGCTATGCTATTGAAAATTTGGTTATTAAATCTGGAAGTCTTTTGGTGGAGTTTTTGGGGTCATCTAAGTAGAGTATCATGTCATCTGCAAATAATGACAGCTTAACTTCTTCCTCTCCTATCTTTATCATTTTATTTCTTTCTGTTGTGTAATTGCTCTGGCAAAAGTTTTCAGAACTATAGTGAATAAGAGGGGTGACAGTGGAATCCTTGTCTTCTTCCTGATTTTAGAGTGAAAGCTTTCAGTTTTTATCCACTTAGTATGATGTTGGCTGTTGTTTTCTCATAGATGGCTTTTATCAGATTGAGATAAAAACCATCTATTCCAATTTTCTGAGGGTTTTTCTCACGAATGTGTTGGATTTTGTCAAATGCTTTTTCTGCATCTATTGATATGATCGTATTGTTCAGCCTGCAGTACTCCACGTGCCTCCTGCCTCCTGAACTTGGCTCCTTGAGCTCCTGCTGACTTGAACTCAGCTCTGCCTCCTCCTGGTGGAGCTAGCCTGCAGCTGCTCAGAATTCCGAGCTCAGTTGGCCTCTCTGCAAGATGGCTACTGGCCGGTCACCCTCTCCTGGGGGATGTCTGAACCTGAGTAACTCAGTGGCCACTGCAGTCTGCTGAGTCCACTGCTCCATTCCACTAGTGCAATTCTCTGTGGAGGCCTCTGGGGCCTCTAGTAGTTACCTTTCATCTGCAGATTTGGGCTACCCTTTCCACTCAGTAAGTCAGGGCTCAAGGAGCAAGTCCTGCTTGCCGTTTCCTTCTACATTGAAGTCTCTCTCTTCGCTCTTCCCATGGACTTCACCTCTTGCTTCAGATCCTTGCTGGGTCCTTCTTATCCTCACAGTATATTCCAGTGTCTGGACACCCTTGGTGAGGCTCGTTCTCTGCTTTTCACTTAAAATTGATTTTTAATTGTATTTTTGAATCACTGACAGTTTCTCCCATGCTTTAATGGTTTTTGCTATTGTAAATGCAGTTTTCTTTGGTACTGGGGATCGAACTTGGGTTCTTGTGCTTGCGAGGCAGGCGGCAGAACCATCGAGCTGAATCCCTGGCCCAGTTGTGAGAAAAAAAAGTTTCAATAATCTAAAAACAAATTGATTTATAGTTTCTAGTAGTGTTTGCCTTTTCATGGATCGTATGTCTGTCGGACACAGTAAAAAGGTGAATCTACCAGAAGAGCAGGTGAATTAGACCACAGTCTGGCCCACTGCCGAGCTGCGGCTTCGCTTTCCTCACCAAGTCTCGGTCTAGAGCACTGGATGTTGAGAGCTAAGTGTTTGCCTTGAATTAGGAGGCAGGGATAGTGGGAAACATTTATTCACATAAGAAAAAGGTTATGCAGTAAGCTTTAAGCAATGAGCCACTGGCAAGTGTATTTCTAGTATTGATTTCCCTTTAACCATGAGGTCAAATAAATCTTTAGGCTTCTGCAACAGCTTCTCATTTCTCTCTCCACAACATTCCCGAGGAGCTTGGGGGCAAATGAGGCCAGTGCTTCCAATGTTCATTGCTCCTCTTTCTCCTTCCTGTCATTTTCGCCTTCCCTGTCTTGGCCCTGAATCTTCCATTTAACAGGAAGCAGCGCCCTCAGTGATAAAGCAGCAGAGTGGCTGAGCCGGAACTGCACACATCAGCCCAGGAGGTGGGCGGTAGGCACATTGGGGCTGCACTGGTGCCTGCCCTCGGCTTGATGTCTTCTTGTTTGATCATAATTTGACATGCATAACCCCATGTGCCTTGTTATTACAGCATCTTTCAAACAGGGTGCTCTTACGCATGCTTTGCTATTTTTTTTACAACCACTACTACCTGATCTCAGTTTGTTGAATGAGGAGAAAACGAAAAGAAAATAAGAAAGGGAGGGAAACAGTTTTGCATGTAAGACTCCAGCAAACATCTAGAAAAAGTGAGGGACTTTTAAAAGCTGTTCAATATAGCCAGGTATGGAGTGATGCTCACGATCCCAGCACTCAGGAGGCTGAGGCAGGAGAACTGTTGAGAGTTCAAAGCAACCTGAACTACATAGTAAGCTTGTCTCAAAAAAAAAAAAATCCAAAATTAAATATTTTTCTATATAAAATGGCATGAACTTTGAGAGTAATCCAAAGACACTGTCCAGGATGTAATGTAAGCAAGCTCAAACTTGAAATTAAGATCATAATCTCAAAAACATTTTCTGAGTATTGTATTTTTACTTGTCTGTTTCAGCATTTTCTAGCCAAAACTCTTTCCCCGGGTTCTTACCCTCTGTGGGCCAGTGGACCACGCTGGACCGGGGTTCTGCAGTCCCTGCCCTACTGTGGTCACTGAAGGGAGGGGCGGAGCTCTTTTCCGCTCTTCTCCTAGCGGCCACCTGAGCCCAAACAGCCCGTGAGTCAGAAGCCATTTGAAGTAGGCACAAAAAGACAGGTACAAAAAGCTCTGTTATTTTTGATTTTAGGCTGATGCACAGAGAATTTTGCGATGAACACTGCATAAGTCATTGTCGGAGGCTTTTTTGGCTTGGGAACAATGGCCTTTGACATCTTACAGCCGGTGGCCTCTGGCTTCTGGGGTCTGTGGCGTGGCTGAGGAAGAGCCCCAGCACTGAAGTTCATAAACCCTCCCTCCAAGGCTGCGCCCCCACCTCAGTTCATAGGGAGGCAAGGAATTTTAACTCTGATTTCATTCCGCAGCCCAGTACCTGGCTCCCTGTGGAGGTCCCTGTCTTGGAACAAGTCCATTTGAGACAAGTGAGATGCAGATGAAGGTTTCCCTTGCTTCCATGCTGTTTTCAACCTCCCTTTCCTTCTTGGAGTGAACATAAATATCCCTCTTTATTCACAAGCCTGGTGTCTGCAAACTCACCAATAGGAAGTTACAGGCAGGGGAATCTGTTAATAAATCCAGGGAAATCTCACACCAGTTTTCAAGTTCTTTTTGGTGCCACTGGGCAAAGGAAGAGCCAGCTAAAAGGAGCAGATGAAGAAGCTGGAAAAAGAGATGTCTTTCAAGCTATAAGGACTTTGAAGAAGTAGGAATTTAGTGCAACTCCTGATTAGAAACTGGGCAGAAAGATCTCCTTAACAGGTCTGGTCTGGTCTACACTGCGCATTGGTAGCTGGCATAGCGTGAAAACCAAGAGAGAAGGACCAGTGTTAGGCTCCGTTCCGTAGAGGGTTACCCAGTGCAATGTCTCTGTGAAATACAGATTGAGGCAGAAATCCTTACGGTACAAAGGTACAAAGTCTCAGCTTACAGACAACTTTACTTTCTGGGTAGTTTTTAATGGCAAGAAAGCTACATTTTACCCACTTCTAAAAGGTTCACTACTATAAATTGAACACTTTCTAATTCCTCGGGTCAGGATGTTGACTGCAGGATCAGAGGTGTCTGGAGCTCTGAGAAGGTCTCCTGGGTCCCCGCCGGTGTCACAGGCTGCTGTAGATGCGCTTGATGGCCCTGGCTTCCTCCTTGTCCAGGATGCCCTTGGCCACGTAAGCGTCGGCCTGCTGGTTGATGAAATCTCTCATCTTTGAAAGGTCATAATCTGGAAGATATTGTTATTGGAGCATCAAGAGCAGAAACCAGGACCTAAAGCTAAGTGTCTCACGTAAGATCACACGAGTAGCCAAATTACACGCAGACGGGGGTTCTGACTTCCAGAACTTCTGATGTCAGGCTGAGTCCCTACTGATGTGATGAAATGCTTATTTTTTCTAAATTAGGAATCACGTTATTTCATGCTGTTTCAACTGTATGCATGGAACAAAAAGCTAAACCATAAGCTGGGTGTGGCAGCACATGCCTGTGCCACTTGGGAGGCTGAGGCAAGAGGACCACAAGTTCAAGGCCAGCCTGGGGTACACAGAGAGTTTGAGGCCAGACTTTACTACCTGGTAAGAGCCTGTCTCAAAAACAGAAAACAAAATAGCCAAACCGTAACTTCTTTATGACTCCTCTGTCCTACTTCAAATCTATGTAAAAGAAAACATCAAACTACCAACCAAAATAGAGTGCCCAAGTAAGACGATGGCACGTGGCATCTTTCTAAAGACCTGAACACCCCACCCTTCACCTTGATTCTTGAAGGATTAGATACTCAGAATCACAAGGCACCAAAACCCTGCCATCCGCCAGTTTGTGCAGGGGAGAGAGAGGCGGGAAGGAGGAAGCACAG